GCAGGCTCGCGCGCGACTCGGCCGCCGCGCCGGTGGCGCCCTCGCGGCGCGCAGCCGTGGCGACCTCTACGGGTCAGCGGCGACGTCGCACTGTTCGCTGAACGTGATCGAGGAGCAGCATGGCGGCCAGCCCGCCACCAGGGGGCAGGACTCCCCACGCGACGCGGCACCATTTCGCCGGCGCGACGCGTTACGCGCGACCGGTGGCGTGCCGAGAGCCGCGGCGATGACTACGTATACCACCGCCGCACGCTCCCCGGGGAGAGGTAACGCACAGGAGGGGCGGGGTGCGGTGGGTCGAGCGTCAACCGAGAAGGAGGGAAGGAGCCCACGGGAGGGTGGTGCACGGGGTGCGGCGGGGCAAGCGTCGTGTGAGGAGGGGAGGAGGGGTGGTGGAGGAGCAGACGGCGTTAGTGGGAAAGCTCCCGGCCTGTGCATCGCGGGACTGAGTCCGATCGCGCGCGACGGCAGCATGCTCATCGGCGCGACCACCTCCCTCCGCCGCCCCGTCGTCGTCAGCTCAGACTTCTCTCGCTCCATCCTCTCCGCGCTAGCCACCGCGTGCGACGATGCTCCGCGTCCCGCAGCCCTCCCCGCCGCGCCGTCGTCCGCTGATGGAGAGAACGGGGGGACACGCCACCCCCGCGCAAGAACAGGAAGGCTGCACGACGTAGCTAGTGCTAACCCCGGCACGCCATCGTCTGCTGATGGCGGAGGGACACGCCGCCCCCGCGCAAGCACAGGGAGACTGCATGATGTAGCTAGTGCTGTCCCGGCGGCGGCGTGGCAGCAGCAGCAGCAGCGGCGGCCCGCCTCACAGCGCAAGTCCTGCTCGCTGCCAATCAACTCATCATTCATGAACCCGACGTACGCCGACGAACAATACGTAGACTGCGACTGCGTGCGTCTCGGCGTCGCCATGCCAGACTGCAGCACGTGCGCCGACGACGACAACGAGGCGCCACCTGGCGTCAACTCGAGCGCGTCTTCCTACCAGACAGCGCCCCCTGGTGTCAACTCGAGCGCGTCGTCGTACCAGACGGCGCGCAGCCATGTGACGGCGGGTTCGTCCAATAGTGTCGCGAGCGCGAGGTCGTTGCAGCGCAAACGCGAGGTCAGGCCGCTGCCCCAGCGCCACCTAGGGGAGTGCACACCACAGCACCACGTAGAGGAACCGCACTACGTCAATGCGGAGGTCGTGCAGGCGTTCCTCGCTGGCCAGGAGTTTGGACGCGTCCGGGCGTCGACAGCCTCCGGCGGGCAGCTGCGGCGGCACCAGGGGGCGCCGCGTCCCGCGTCTGTGCACGGCAGCCCGCAGGACACCATCTACATAGGCGGCATGGACGACCCGTACGCGAGCTCATTAACCCTCGACGCGACCGTGAGTCACCGCGCGGGGCGCCCCCTACTCGAAACACCTCGGCAGCCCCCGGTTCCTCCACGCCGCGGACCGACAGCGAATCAGCAGCGGTCACCGAGCGGGGACGGCATGCTGCGCAGACGGAGCGCGGATCGACGGCAGCAGAGCATCCCGGATTCGGCGCGGAAATCTCGCCGCCAGTCGATGCAGCACGCCTACTCAGCATACAGCGTCGACGACGCGGCGACGACCTTGACCCTCGGCCGACCCGCGTCGGAGGTGGACGTGAGGACTGCGTCGCGGCCGGGGACGCAGTGTGGGAGCAGGGAGTCGAGCGCCTTCACTCCGTTCGGCACGAGGGGAGTGCTGTGCGCTCTCAAGCGCATGGATAGCCAGCCCGGTACGTGTCCCTCCCTACCGATGCACTAAGAGGCCCCTGCGTAGCATGCGTGCGTTGCGTTTGTATATTAGTACGTACGTACGATTTACGCCCGTCCGTTTAATTTCCAACTCATGTCAAGTGTTGGCATTGTGTTTACACAGGTAAGATCGATCAGTGTGTGCATGTGTGCGTGAGTGTGTGCATGCGTGGTTGTGTGATAGATTTCGTTGTTGTTTGCTTGTTGTTGTGGTTTGTATTGTTATTATTGTTTGATTTGCTCGATGATGTTTGATTGCTTTCCAGTTCTGCACACAGTTGACGGGCAGAATTGTGCCAAGGATGCCTTGCAAATATGTTGCTTGCTGCTGTCGCCTGCCGCGAGAAAACGCTTGCAACTGCTGCTGCGAATGATGGCGAAAATGTGCAAGAACGAGGAACTGGACAGTCTGGATGAATTCACCTGCGTCCGCTCACTGGTAACCAACTCTGCTTAATTCGCATGCGTGCGTGTATGCAGACGCCTGTACATATATCTATATATATATATGTGTGTGTGTGTACATATACATATGGGCCGACGTGTGTCTCTGCATACGTGTGCAGCCTGTGAATTTTACACGTGTGTATATTCTGTCTGGAGGCTGTGTATGTGTATATAACTGTCACTCTTTGGACACACCAATAGTATCCTTCATAGACCACTAGTGCCCATTCTATAGAGTCGGGTTTACTGTATGACTGCCACTCAAAAGAAATGCCAAAACCCTACTCTATAGACATCCCTCTGTTCTTTAGAGTTGGGTTTTTTAGTATAACTGCCATTCAGTGCCAAAACCCTACTTTATAGACAGGTGTTCATTCCACGGAAGTGACTGCGAGCACCGATTCGAACGTACGTGCGTCTACGTGTGCCATACCGCAGCTGATGCTCAGGGGCCCGTTGTCAGAAACAAAATTAGGCTTCACATTAGTCTTACCATTAACTTCGACTCGTAAACCGTTGACAGAATCATCGTAAACTTATGAGAACGAAAAATCCTTGGAAATTTCCTCCAGGTTATAGAGACGTTTACGAGCAGCATACTGAGACCGGAGTACGAGGACGACCAAGACATGCTGCTCAACCTGCGACTTGTCACCTTCCTCGTAGAGAACCACGCCGACATCATGGCCGTGCCGGAAACCCTCAAGAAACAGATCAATACGAGACTCGCGCAGGCCCGGACAAGTCGCACTCAGGTACGTGACGCGTGTCACGCGCAGGTACGTGACGTGTGTCACGCGCCGGTATGTGACGTGTGTCACGCGCAGGTACGTGACGTGTCTGTCCGCGTGGTGGGGTATGTGAGCCATGTGTCACGCGCAGTACGTGACGCCAGTGTCGCATGCGCAGGTAGTGACGTGTCACGCAGCGGTATCTGTGACGCTGTGTCCACGCGCAGCCGTACGGACGCCGTGTACACGGCGGCCGTACGTGACGTGTCACGCGCCGGTACGTTGACGGCGTGTCACGTGCATCGGTACTGCACCGTGTCACGCGCAGGTACCTCGTGACGCGTGTCGATGCGCAGGTACGTGGACGTGTCACGCGCGCGGTATGGAGTTGTGTCACGCGCAGGCTACGTGACGCTGCTTGCTCAGCCGCTTGTATGTGACGCGCTGGGTCACGCCGCCGCGTATGTGACGTGTGTCCGCGCATGCAGTTAGCGTGACGTGTGCTCACGCGGCAGGTACGTGACGCGTGTCACGCGCCGCGTATGTACGTGTGTCACGCGCCGGTAGTGCTGACGTGTGTCGACGCCAGGTACGATGACGCGTGTCATGCGTCAGGTACGTTGACTGGTGCTCACGCGCCGGTATGGACGTGTGTTCACGCGCAGTACGTGACGTGTGTCACGCGCAGCGTACGTGAACGCGTGTACGTGCAGGTACGTGACGGAGTGTCATGCGCCGGTCCTGTTGACTGTGTGTTCACGCGCAGCGTATCGTGCACGCGTGTCACGCGCAGGTACGTTGACGTCACTGACGTGTGTCACGCGCCGGTATGTGACGTACTGTCACACGCAGGTATTGTGAACGTATATCACACGGCAGGTAGGGACGTATGCCACCGCAGGTATGTGTCGTATGCCACACGCAGGTACGTGACGATATGTCCACATGCAGGTTACGTGAGCGTGTTGGATGCATGTACATGACGCGCATTACGTGCCAGGCAATGTGATATCTGTCCACTTAGGTACATTGTACGAGTCATGTGCGCAGGTGTACATGGCACATGCTTGCTGCCTACGGTGAGCCAGGTGGACGATGCAAGTGCATGTGCATTGGTCATCGATATCAACTACGCTCTGTCCTTCAGGCCCTGGGTCGTATTCGATCGACGACACTCCGCCGACGCGCTCAGTTATGTGAGCAGTCTGTTGCGCAAGGCAGGATATGGAACCAGAAAAGGAGGCGCACTCTCACAGCAGTTGCATGCTCACGAGTCTGCTGGACAGTATTATCAGGCAACAAGCGCGCGTGAGTGCGAAGGAGAAAGAGAAAGAACTTAAGGACTACGCGTGTCGGTGTGGCTGGTGGTTGGTGAAATACTATTGAGTTCGTTGGATGACGTGTGCTGTGGTTGTTCGGGACCATGTATTTGGTGTTTGTTGGTGACGACAACGTTGGCTGGTGGTTGTTGGTGAATGTTTTGGGTTTCGTTGGTGAGTCGTATGGTGACGCTCTGTTCGGTGACATGTATTGGTGTTTGTTGGTGACGTGTGCTGGTGGTTGTTGGTGACATGTATTGGTGTTTGTTGGTGACGTGTGCTGGTGGTTGTTGGTGACATGTATTGGTGTTTGTTGGTGCGTGTGCTCGCTGGTTGGTTGTTGGTGACGTGTGCTAGTGGTTGTTCCGGTGAATGTATTGGGTTTGTTCGGATGACATGATTGGTGTTTGTTGCGGTGACGTGTGCTGGTGGGCGTTGGTGACATGTATTGGTGTTTGTTGGTGACGTGTGCTGGCGATTGTTGTTGACATGTATTGGTGTTTGTTGCTGACAAGTTGCTCTGTGTGTTGTTCCGGTGACATGTATTGGTGTTTTTGGATTGCGTGTGCTGGTGCGGCCTTGGCTGCCACATGTATTGGTGCTTTGTTATGCGGGGGGTGACGTGTGCTTGAGTGGTTGTTGGTGAATGTATTTGTGTGTTTGTTGCGTTGAGTGTGCTGGGTGGCTTGTTGTGACATGTATTGCGTGTTTGTTGGTGAGTGTGCTGGGTGGGCGTTGGTGACATGTATTGGTGTTTGTTGGTGACGTGTGCTGGTGATTGTTGTTGACATGTATTGGTGTTTGTTGCTGACGTGCTGGTTTTTTCTTTGTTGCAGTTTAAGTTGGCATATCCAGACATCTACCGGAAGAGGTTCCCAACGGCTGCCGAAGAGGCTGAATTCTTTCCTCCAGAATCAAGATCCCGCATCCCGAAGCCATTGATGAAGCTGAGAAGCATGAGGTTGTAGGTGAAGCCGAGGAACATGACTCTGTGTGTAAGGATAAGAAGCATGAGACTATAGGTAATTGAAGAAGCCAGTAAGGATGCTACATGTGGAAAATAACCCTAAATGATGTATGAAATCGTGTGCTAATCTGCTATAGATCATACTGAAACTTCAAATGAAAGCTTAACGTGAAGCTCTCGATGATGATGATGGCATGGATGCTTCAGACTGTGAATGAAACAGAATGAGAATGCCATCAGTGAGGGCGCAGGGTGTGGGTGCTCTCTGTGTCTGTCATCTCAATTTATCACATTAGTCAGGGATGAGATTCTTCCGCGGATCCGCGGAAATCCGCGGATTTGACAGTCCCAGGGGTCGATTTTGTGAAACGTCTATTTTCGTTGAGAATATTGGGAAGGGGTAACAATGTAACAATTTAAATTATATACCCTCAACAGCACCTGACTGTAGACTGTAGAGTGTAGACAGTAGGCTGACAGCAAAGTATACAGTGTATCTGTTTTTGCGTACCAGAAAAGGAGATCCTCGTTCACAGGCTGCAGTAGAGGGGCAAACATTTGAGGTAGCTGATCACGTAACGACGATGCCTGGCCTGGGGGCCGGGTTTACATGTTGCTGCGTGCATGTTCTGTGCATGACTATGCACTGATTGTTCCATTCGCATTGTGTTTTTTTCATTCAAATCTGGTCGCAGCAAGGCAGCTTATGTCTGAGTAAAACAATGCAAGCGACGGGTGGAAACATAAAAATATCATTATGTCTAGACATTTAATAACAAAACTTGCCCTATTTTCAGCCCCCCCCCCCAATTTGCTATTATAGTTCGTTTGTTCCTTTTGACAACTTGAAAAGGTGATTCAAGAGTCTCCTATAATTTGTTCAGAATAGCTTAGAATGCACCAAATTGCACCATTCTTTAAAAAAAATGACCTACGGTCCTCGCATTGCTCGCTCCTCTGTTTGCTAATTAAAATGTCAGCTGAAAATTAAATTATCTAATCTCATCCCTGATTAGTTCTTCGCAAAGACGGTATTCAGATTTTGTACCTGCACGTTTTATTATTTTATTGAATACTCGATTAACGGTTAATCGACTTCCGATTGTTGGTTGCTGATTATTCTTCTTATGCTCATTTTTAATCTGCTTCCACTGAATACAGGAATAGTGAGTACAGTTGTGTCTGTAATTGTACCTATTGTATAATAATGCTATCTATAATTGTACCATCAGTGGTTATGAATCTAAACAGTTTAATCTCTTTCAGACGTGATGCAATAACCTAGCTGTGTTGAATGAGAACAATAGCAATGTTCGCTTGTTCATCATGGTGTTGATAATCTCTGAATGAGTGGAGTGGGTCATGATGACATATCAGCTTGTGAGATTTGTTAAAGATGTATGTTCATAAACACAGTCAATTTGTAATGCTGCTGAATAAATGATGAATCGTATTGTGGTGTTTAGTTGCTGCAAACAGCTATTGATCAAGTGTAGTGTTATTGAGATAATGGAGCCCGTAGTTGGGCATACTGTTACATTCTCAAGGCCGTTACATAGACTAATATGCTATGAATGGCAGTTTGAAATCTGATTTGTGATGCCACAGAATAATTAGCAGAAATTATGCAATCATATAACGTAGAATTGAAATAGTTTGTGTAAATAATAATAATAAATCGGATAAAATTGTTTGTATTTTGGTTCTCAAGCATAATGTTCACATTGCTAGATGCATTGCTTCATGATAGATAAATACTGTGTTGTAACGTTTGTACGAATAACATTCATGTGCATGTACCTGGATTTAATTCGTCAAGGAAACATCACATTGCTTGCGTCGACAGTATATACCGTGTGTAAATTTTAGACGTTCAATCACTGTTTGATTGTTGGTTGATAATTTTTATGGCAGTCATTTTCATGTCTATCAGCACATGTGCACGTTTGGCAGTGTCGTTAGTTCTCAATGAACAGTTACTCGGGCGTCATCTTGTCCTTGATTCTACGACTCAGAATTAGATAGGCGAGTTATGTCGTTTCATGCGTGCTGGAGCAGCAGCAGAATCGCCGAGTCCAAATTTTTTAACCGATTGCTTGAATAGCTGGTATCACGTTTAGTTGTCAACACGCATTGTATTATGTGGCACTTGAGCCGACTGAAACCTAAATGAAATTATATACCTCATGATCATGCTCGACTGAAATTCACATTGTGTGCGTTTGTTCTCAATTCATATACCAAACCTCTCTTCCCTTTTACTTTTCCCTTCCTCGCCCACCTCTTTTAGCTCTCCTTCACCGCAATATACTCAGCAGCATACCGCATATTTCTTATGCAGATGACGTTGAGCATTTTGTGTTGTATTTACCATAGAATCTTATCACACGCAAAGAAGAGGTTATTGTTAGTTGAAAAGACGAGTGCAATCATGGCCCTACATCTGTGAAGTTAGACAAACAGTCTCATTATTGACTGATCACTGACGTTTGCATTTAAAACGCTGTGCTGCCGAAAAACCTAATAATAATAATAAAACCAATCAGCTCCATATACAATGTAAGAGATTTATGTTTAAGATTGAATACAAAAGCAAGTCACGTATTCGTTTTACACATAAATACACAATGTGTCTCATTTAATAATAATTGTCAGTACTGCCATCATTATATCATTAACGACCATTGCATATATAGAGTCTGAGATAAATTCATAATAAAATAGATATTTTTAAAAGATACAAATTCCAAAATAGACTGCATGCGCTTACAAATGTTGCATAGGCTACGGTTGGCAGTATCAGATCTATAAAACTAATCACTAGTGTCCACTCGTAGTGCGAGTTCTGAAGTATTTAAGTCGTTTAAATCACCTAACAGCCTACTGATACAGCTATACAGATATCTGTTATCTGGTTCACAGCGACAGCATTTCTATGTTCTATCTCAAATGCAGTAAAACCTTCGTATCCAGGTGGTCATATTTCTTTGCACAAGATGATTCATTTCCCAACAAATTCATTGTAAACAGTCTAGGTGGCACTTGTGAGCAATGTTTAAACAATTGGTTGTTTGAACAATACTTGCTAGATATGTAGATTACCTAGACATGAGCAAACATGCCCTCTATACGCATATTATCAAGAGCTAATAATACCTATCCTAGGTATTATTACCTGCTATACCTGTACCTATACCTAGGTATTATTAGCTCTTGATATTATGCATTCACTATACTGTATATGCCATATTTTTTGCTTACAGACATTTTCGCGAATTCAGCGTCGACAGCCAATTTCGCGAGTGGTTAATTTCGCGGTCGGTGAATTATGAATTATTCGGTATGAATTATTCGCGTGTTGTTATTTTCGTGGTCGGGGATGCGTTCGCGAAATTAGCGAAAATTAAACCACCGCGAAATATACAGCGTATACAGTATAACTGTATTATATAGTTGGCACTATATATTTAACAACACCCTATATATTCTAACTACCAGGTGTGTGGAAAGGGGGCACGTTTATAATAAACATTACAGCACATAGCCATTACATTGGGTGGGTGGCAAAGTTTTGTACTTTATGCAATTCTCAAATAACTTAAATTTCTGCAGAAACCCTCTAAGAACTCCTCAAGTCTAGTCATCTACGAACCAGAAACTACTCGTCTCCATATCTCTCATTTCACAGGAACCCTCCCCCTATACACACTATCTCTGATCCACTATATATCGTTTCTCCTGCTGGCCTGCAATATAAAATTTCCAGCATGCAATGCACAAAATCACAGTTATATCAACATCTATCACAGTCAATGATTGTAATCACTTATATAATTCTTGGCACCATAATTATCGCAAGGCACAAACATCGCAGTACGTATAACACGACGCATATGATATTATCCCTAAATCCCTCACAAATTATAAAAGAATGACTCACAATTTCAGCACCTAGTCAAATGTGTACTAATGTCACACATAGCATTCGAAATTAGAGGCAATATGTGGCATATATTTCATTTAATTAAAACCAAGCTTACTGCACTACATTGCATGGCATCAGTGATCACACGTAGTATACATGCTCTTTCTTCCTCCCTTCTCTCTCTCTCGCTCACCCCCCCCCTCCCATGTCTCTCTCCCTTCGTTCTCTTTTATTTTTCTCACATACACAGAGACACTCACGTCGTTTCCCCAATCTGGGCTCGACTGCTTAATTAGAGCTAGGTTTAATCAGGACAATTTATTTTGGGAGAAAATTACCACATTTGTTAATTTTGAACACTGCCTTTTTGTGATAGTGCTGAATAGTGAGTAACATGATTTTGATAAGAAATTGTAGTTATTGTCAAAAATACACAGCCCAGTTGTGTAAATAATATAAATATCTGCATTCAAATTGTGAAGTTTCACCTCCATTTGGATTGTGAATGGGTCCGATATATCAATATAAATCTGGCCTGCATAAAACCCTGTGGAGAAACTGTACTTTATCTCTTGTCCATTATTTACCACTTCACTGTTTACGGCTTTCACTATCTATCACCAATTTTGGAAAAGTAAGCAAAATACTATATAACAATATACAAATCTACACACAGGGTTAAACTACCCTACAATAGAAGCTCTGTATTTCATCTTTTTGGTGTTTGATCCCGTTGTTTGTTCGTCTTGTATCATCTTCCCTTTGCCCGTGGTTTTTCACTTGCGTCGTGCGAGCAGCAGCCACTAGTGATGTGTGCAATCACAGTTCCTACTATGAATTCGCAAACACAGTGACACACTGTTACCCACAACGCATGGCATCACATTAGTGAGGGAGGATACACCCTCCTGCCCTGCCTGCACGTCCAGTCTGCCACGGCTATGGGTGCCATTACAAATAGTGTTGCTAGACACGGTGACGATCAAATCTCTAAGTGTGAAACACAAAAGATTCGTCCTTGCTCCTTTGTCGACAAGTGTTGTCATCGTGGCCACGCAACGTTTGGCCTAAATTCCTGATTCTATTACACAGTCTCTGGCACAAACTTTTGCGTGGTTCATCATTGGTAACTACAAGTGAACCATCTTGTAGGTACCCAGGTACCTCTGTCATTCTTGTTTCCTCCATAGGTACGGCACGCACCTGAGCTGACATGCCCGTGCCATACACAGCTGTGTATGGCACTACAGCCATTCCTGCTCCCTGGCTAGATGTGGGAGATGACACTATACTAGATTCCTGCATACGTGTATCACATGTCAGCGCCAAGGGGGTTGAGCCCTGTATGGATGTATCACACGTGAGAGCCAACGGGCGGGTGTCCTGCGTAGGCACGGGACACGACACCGGCACTATTCCTGTATGTACAGTCAGATCTGAGGTGGAGCGTGGCATGCGCTGTTTAGAGAAGGTGTTGCCGATGCGGCGAAGGTCGTACTCCATGAAGCCGGTAGTGCGCAGTGGAATGTTAGAGAGCATGCGGTAGACGCTTCGTAGCTGAGGTTTCTTCACATCTGGCATCGTGAAGACCACGAGTACCTTCTTCCTCATGCCATCTGCACGTGAGCGATCACAGAGACTTCTAATGAGTAACCAAAAATACTAACTACCCAGGAAGAAGAAACGTGAAAACCAAATAATGAAAACATCATAGATTTATTTAACTGCAAAACCTTCTTCGTCATGCCACCTGTACATGAGCAATCACAGAAACTCTATGGTAATAAGTAACCAAAATAAATAACTACCCAGGAAGAAACGAAAAAAAAAAATCCTAGATTTATTTAACTGTAAAACAATAACACCAAGGTTATTAATAGTAGTATATTAACTATATTTACTACTATTAATAACCTTGGTGTTATTAAACATCAGTGTGCACTCGATCAACATACATATATTCGCATACCTGATAGCAGAGAAGATAAAGTGCAAACCACTTACCTTCAACAGATAACGAGTATGCAAATCCAGTAAACTCTCTATGATAGCGGCTGTTCATCAGGGAATGCGACATGATTACGGCTATGGAATTGCACCTGAAATAAAAATCAAACATCCACACTATATACCCGAAGAAAGATACTTAGATTAAGATACTTCTGTGTGTCAGCAGATACACTAAAAGCAAATATCGCTGCACCTTAGTCACACGTATATAGTTGACTCTAATAATATCTAAAGAAAAATTTTGCACAAGCACCTACTCAAAATATACGCATTGCCTACGATTTTACAACATATGCTATGTCTAATTACTGGTGTGCACCTGTTTTCGACAGCATTGCACATTTCCATCAGTTCAATGCCATCTGCAAGACCATCGCGATGATGCAGGTAAACACTGTAGTTAAAAACCCTCTCCAAGCAGTCAGAGAGGCACTCTGCTACTTCGTTGTCGTCTGGGTGGCAAATGATTCCAACATCATACACTTCCATCAATTCCTCCTCCACATCTCCTTCAACATATGAGCCTGAAGCACATGAATCAGTTATGGATTATATGTATATATATATATAATATATATATATGCATGTATTAATTATTTAATTAGTTAACTCATTTATTCATATTAACATCCTAAACAAGAGCCGCAGAGCGTCTGGGCTCATCTGAGGTCTGTTGCTACGGTTATAAACGTAACATTTAAGTTGTGCGTAGTGACACCTTTGTTAGGCGCAGATATGCAGAGGATACGGCAGGGGGTTGGCGGACACGATCATTTCAAGCAACCGTTCTGCATCTCTGCATGTAAGCTCCGCAAACTCCATTGGTTGACGTACAAATCGCGTGCCTGAACTAATGGGTTATTATGGTGGCAAGTGTGTGAGACCCGGTCTAACCGCTATTAGAATACAAGAAAAACGAGAAGAACCAGGTAGAGGCCAGTGATTAGTGACCAATAAGGCTCCAAGAACTACACATTTGCGGTGCTATATTGGTGCCAAAGATTTGATGAAAAAATTAAGTCTGGGAGAATCCAAGCCTCACTCCTGGTAATTATTTAAGTGCTAGTGACTATTCCAACTATTCATAATGTACACTACAGAATCTCATATATAACTCATCTCATTATCTCTCTAAGTAAGGCGATTTTTCAAGTAAGAGTTATGTGTGGAATTTCACTGTTAAATGGGAGCGTCTCCACAACCCACAGGTACTTCGCAACCGCAGTTGAGAAACAAATCAATGTTTAACCGCCTACAGGCTGCAATAGAGAGCTGCCACTGTACCTAATTAACGCAGGCAAAAACTACACATACTATCACCAACCACATTCACTGGCAGTGGCATATTAACACACTGACAGTACAGAATGCCATAGAAATTATACGATTTAAGGAGCATAAACCTTCTTCAAGCAATTTAGGCTTTGTGAAATTCACTGTGATCAGTTGTAGCCTCAATATCTCCAGGCATGTATGATTCTACTAGCAAACACGCAGCAGTCAAAATTTCTTTCTATAACAGCAGTTAACAGTTAACAATCACCACATGTTTAAAGTCACACTCCTCTTTTGAGGGTCAAAAGGTTATCAAGAAACTGTACTCTCGGCAACGCGGCAAGTGAACAGGCACATTTTCATGGTGCCTTTCATAAAGCCATAACAAAATGGTAGGTCAACCGCTGAAACCGAAAAAAGTTTTTCAATTTGCTCCGTCAGGCATGTCCTCAGAAAATGTCTAAAATCTGCCCGTGCCCATTGACGCTTTGGAACACTGTGACCTCACATTTCGACACAGTGATGGCCTGTCCTAGCATGAGCTATACACCGACTATCAGCAGTCCTTAGGTCAGAGCGCGTTTAGATTTGTGCCGCAATTCCTGCACTTTTCCTCCCTATACTCTAAGTTAAGCGAGTGAATGTTCCCTCCTTAATTTTACACGCTCTTGACCTTTGACCTTTGACCCCCAGCTTGCGATATCCCACTGCGTTTTCGGATTACCCCCTCGACGTCCTCCAAATATGGCGTGACGCGTACGTCCGAGGCGTTAAGATTTGTGCGCAACTGTTGACGGACGCACTCGACGGACGCACGCCGGACGATCGAATGCGATCTAACATAGCTGCGCAATCTTGACTATGTTTCAATGAGGCTAAAAACTAGGCCATAATAAGGATGACCACGTCTATGATTTTGTTTAATTGCGTTCGGCCAACGCACAATATAGCACCTCCACACTACATACCGTGCAGTTTTCCTTGTAGAAAAACAGTAAATAGACAATATATTGTGTACCTACCACCTGCCCACTACCACATGGCTGGGTGAACCCAATATAAGGGATGCAGGGAACAATTTCCGAAGCCAAAAATTTAGCAAGCAAATGTGCGATACAGAAATACACTTTTGGGCATAGCCAATTGGATAAATTTTGTATAGCTGCATTTTCAGAACAAGTGCACAGTGCAAATTTACACCGCAGCTGCCATGCTTGGCGGGTGTTGATCGTGTCGGCCTGTGACAGGCAGGCAGCTAGTTTAAAGCCTAGGACAGCACAGCGAGTTCTGGTAACGCGCTGGCCCCGGCACGTAAACAGCGTGCGACGCTTGAATCACGCGCGCGCGAGAGCTCCGGCCAATTGGTCCTGAGTGATAAATAAATATTCGGGCGGGCGGAAGTAGAAAAAAGCAAAGCTGACCCTCCGCACATGTTTGGCAAGTAAATATATTGTTCTAAAACTTTAATCAAATGTTGGTTCCTTACGCTTAATATAACCAAACATTGATGAAATAATACAGTTCTAGCGATTGTGAAATGTGAAGGGCAAGCTATCCGACTCCTCGACCAGACATCACATGCCTCGACTACTTAATATTATCAAAGGTCCCCGAAGAAGCAAGCCGCAGCGAGAGCGTGAGCGCGCAGCGCAGCGCGTGGCTGTATATACGTGCCTTGGGGCGGATATTGATTTTGGATGTACGGGGAGGGGGGGGGGGGGAGTGCAAGGATTGTGTTTAATAAGTCAGCGTTGCCCCTTGGCATGTAACAAGCTGCAATAAAATCGGCGTAAATCGTGGCAATATTTTCATTGCGGGGCAAGCATGCCCGAGATAAGATAAAAGTAAATTGTAACAATGTAGTTTCCGTGTTACATCCTCGCATCCGAAGCTGCATCGCACAACTGCGGATTCATAAAAAAATATGCGTAGCAAATGGCTGAAAATACATCGCGAATTGCGATGCGATACCGGGAAAATTATTCCCTGGAATGGGACTGCGATCTTGTGAAGGGTGCATTCTGTGACCTTGAGAAGAACCCACTCTGTGACCATGGGAAGGATCCACTCTGTGAACTTGGAAAGGATCCACTCTTTGAGCTGGTGGGGCCCTTCTTTGTTCCTTCCAACATCTCCAGTCGTCTTCTAAAAAAACAGTTCATGCATAAATGGCCTAGTTGACTTCCAGGTATAGGTAAATGGTTCAGGATTAAAGCATTAAGAAGGATGAGCGGTTTCACTGTCTACAGACACCACACTTCTTCACATAAAATTAGAAACAATTCCCAATATGTCCAAAGATCGCATGGCTATCCAAAACAATGTCTGCACTTTTGCCCGCAAGTTTTCGCACACAGGTCAAGCAGTTCTCCACACAAGAGCGTTCCCAAATAAGGGAAGAAAGTCTCAGAATCAACGAGTGAAAATCGGGAATGACAACAAGTGAGCAATCATGCTACAAGAGGGCGCTCTGTGCAGTTTATACACCCAGTGCTCTGGCAGAAACAACACACACCTATGTTTGGGAGCAGAGCTGTTTTAATGTCTTCTCTTCCCAAAGTCGTGAGCATGCTCAGTAGGTCCGCAACACTGGTGTTAGGCTGCGCTGACCACTCACGGAATAGCTCCTTTGTTCTTTTGCCCATCGGCAGCATTTCGCATCGCCTGTGCAATCGTACACAATAAAATAACAAGGTGCAGTGCTACGCTTGACTCATGCGACTAATCGAACACATGTACAGATGAAACTACTCAGTGAAAACATGCTGAAACTTACTCAAGCCCGTCCTGCCCATATCCCATCAACTCTGCGAGGCCGCGCCAGTCCTTGCACAGATTTCCCGCCAAAATTGCCTTCTCTAGGTCTAGTCTGGCAAGCTTGTGTCTGGACGAGCCACGAAGCTCGCACGCAGGCATTTCACTCCAATCCGGTGTGGCTTCATCCACTCCCCGCTCAGCGCAGGCGCCCCCTGGTTTCGCAGTATCTGCGCCAGCGCCACCTGACAAAGTATTCGCAGTGATGTTTTCTTCTCCGTCGCTAAATAAGAACATCATGTTCGACTTAACGTCATCTATGCTATCACGAGGTGGTGCCGACGCTGGTAGCCGCTGCACCGGTATGCAGCTTGTTAGCGGACGATCGTCAGCCCCATTGTCACCGCTGTGTAAATACCGCACACCCTCACCGGGCGCTATGACAACGCGTTCATGCAAAGTTACTTTCTCGCCAGTTTTCTTGGGGTGTGCGAATGCTGTAGGCTCGCGTTCTTTTCCGTCGTCTGCAGGTGCTTTAACGGAACCAGCCCCAGTCGTACTGCCCGTCACATTCTCACTCTCCTCGTCATCGGAGTCTGACCAGACGTGAGCGCACGGCAGAGAGAGATCCACGTTGCTGAGCAGCTCAGAATGTCTCTCACAGGTATTACTAGTCAAAGCCATCTGGTCCTCCATGGTGTCGTTCCCTACATTAGCTTGGCTGGCTGTCTGCTGCTGTGGCTGTGCATTTTCTACGGCAGCTCTGTCATCCCACCTCGACTCCAAGCAGGTAGCCTGCATTCCAAGTCCTAGATATTCATTTCCTGAAGCCCCGTTGACATGATAAGCTCCAGGTGTCTCTAACTTGGGGACCGACGTTGTAACATCGACTGCTGCCTCACGCGGTGCAGCACTTCCGAACAAAGAATGGCCGTAGCCACTCTCTGAGAGATGCTCTTGTGCTGCTGATATACACGCAGTGCCATCCCTATTGGCAGAGCTAAGATGTAAGTCAACAACATTGGTCATCGGGTAAGGTTGCCTGCTTGGGTGGGTGACCACAGAACCGCTGCTGCAGCTGCTGCGACTCTCTGTCCACACAACATTATCGCATGTTGGCAACAATTCCGACTCCCGCACTTTGGCACTGTGGATGGCTGACCGCACCGAACACTCCAGTGCGACCCCTGTCACTTGGTCAGCGACACAGTGACCGCGTGCATGCTTCTGAATGACAACACCACGTCCAGCGAGAAGGTCAGAGTTCGTGCAAGAAGCTACACGTACATATTCACTCAATGTGTAAATGTGAAGAGTGTTGAAGTTCAGTGACTTTCTAGTATTACTACAGTAGGCATTATGACCAGCAGCTGCAAACGAGAAACAATTAATAACACCGACTGCGTAAGAACAGAGGCACGAGCATCGACCAGTTAGTGGCATTGTAATCGCATTTGTAATGACACGTTGTAATAATAGGCGATAGAAAGTAGACAAATATTAAAAATTAAGTAGTACATGTAATATGATGTATATACAATTCATGCTTATCTACTATCATTTTTGAATTAGTTATTGAAATGATTCAAATGCATGTGGCTGTGCATCATAGGCATATTCCCACACCGTTAGCTCACAAAACAATAATCACAGAAATATATAATAGTTAGGAAGCGTCTAAACAACCGGATCCGGTTTCGGAGTCCTGAAAACTAAACAACCGGCTCTCTTCTCTGATTGGCTAATTTTGTCACTTATTTATTTTATTTTTTCTTATTTTTGGCTAATTTTATTTTATTTTAGAATTAGGGCAGGCCCCTCCCTATGTTGCGCGAACCAGGCGCGCCCGCCCCGTTTGGGAAAGCTCCCCCCACGTTTCAATCGTTGCGCCCCGTTTAAATTACCTCCGCCCCGATTAAATTCCACCACAATAAAAGTTTGAGAGCACGGGAATCGATCGTCAAGAATTCCCATTCGACCAGGCCCCGGACGCGTGTATTTTTACTGTACCACTAATGCGTAAACCTCCTACACTACGCATGCACTGCAGACCACACACAAGTACAAACAGTCAACCTGTCCCAAACCCTAACACTAACTATAAACCAAAGATCGTAGAGTGCCGGAGGCACAAGATAGACCACTCATGCGAAATCACGTGCAATGACGTGTAGTACGCAATGGAGCGCCACGTCCGCCATTTTAGGAAGCAAAACCCCCTCCGCGTCTGTTTGATACATAGAAATAATATGGATAACCATGGTTAATATATATGATATATATTTAATATAATGTAATAGATAATATTTTTATGCCAATAGCTGTATCAAATCTCTCATTCAAGTGTACAAAAATCTAACAATAATTCATAATCGGATGTTAACAGTACTTCATAATGTGCACAGTGCAGTGGTGTAGTGTCAGACAGTGGTACAGTGCACAGGCACTTCATTGGACCGTCTCAAACAAATAATGGTAAATAAACACTAAACGTATCTACTATCAAAGTATTAAAGGAACAGTAGCCTCTAGGTTCTAGGGTTATTTTCAGCTAATTTAGGTTATAATTGCGCTACATAAAAAGTTCATGGTTCAATCACCATTAGAAATTTTTAAAAAAATGTTTTAAAACTAACGACTACAGTTTAATTACAACGACGGTGGCCGCACTCAAAGCGCAGATCTGAGAAGTTGCGCAAAACCCACTTTCCACCAGGGCTACAGACCGAGGGTATTTCTTATTTATTCAAAAAGCAAAAGGATTGTAATATCTTATAAACGACATATATTTTCAGTTATAATATGGATAAATTTGCCCTAAAATGAATATCGTTCGGTTAAATAGCATTTAGGTATAAATAATAATTGCACTTTTGTGATTAGCGCCTCGGTCATTTACCTGCAAAATAAAAATGCAAATACGCAACTTTTCAGGGTGGCAGCACGGTCCGGGGTGTCATGGCCGCGCGTTCAAATTTCGTAGCGTTGATGTGTAAATAATTAATTAAGTATCTGGTGACAATACATGTAGGTATAGACGATTTGTTATACAGTAAGTACAGTTGTATGCAGATAAAAATCCTAGAGGCTACTGTCCCTTTAATTGTTTCTCTACTTATTCGCCTATAATTGTCGATAACTTGCTGTAAATGCCGTTTAAATGCTCATCTGCAACAAACAAGTAGTGAAGTACACCGCACGCACGCCCTGTAAGAGAGCCACTGCACTGCCACTGGGTACTACATGTATCAACGAAGATTGCACAACTCTTTCACGATGGATTTCGACAAAAAAGAATGTTTCTCACCTTTCTGTATTCTTGGGGAACCTGAAGAAAGACAGGTCGGCTTACACTGACGATTCGAACAATTTACAGCAGAACAGTAAGCTCAGCTGACAGCACACAGCAGACAGTTTCACAGTTAGCAGATACAGCAGCATCCGGAGAACTTCGTGTGAACTTGCTTCCTAAATGGCGGTTGTGGAGGCTACTACGCTATGATTGTGCCTCCGGCACTCTACGATCTTTGCTAAAAACCAACTCGGCTATCTTATATACAAGTACCCCAAATACCGTTATGGTGTGGTGGCGATTTTACGCATTACGTTAAAAAAACACGCCCCCGGACCCCCTAGTTTCCCCTCCCCTCCCCCTGTTTCAATTTCATCCTGGGAGAACCCTGTGAGAGGGTTAGGGTTAGGGTTAGGGTCTATATCCATAACACTTACAGTGCTCGAAATAAGAAAAAAAAATGTGGTTGTCCTGCGGACAAACCCAGGCATCAAATCGGGTTGTCCGCAACAATTTCTTGGTTCCCAAAAAAATATCCCCAAATCTCCTATTTCAATCACATAATAATATGGTCAGAAACACCCAAAAACAGTGTGTGTAGCCAGGATTTTTTTAACAAGGGGGCCAAAAACAGCACACTGCGCCAAAATAGTGGGATGACTTATATTTTAATGGCTCCTCCGCCTCCCTCTCCACACCCTACGGCTTCCTCTACCTTCTCTGCAATCTTTGTTTTGGGTGCCATGCGAAAAGACGACATTTTTGTTCATTGTTCTCTGCTCCCAAGATATGTAATTGTTCAGTGGCGGATCTAGGATCTAGGATCTTTCGGGGGGTGAAAACAAGCGGGGGGTATGGGGGTTCTCCCCCACAAAATTTTGAAAATGTAGATCGCAGGAGATGGTATTTGCGGCACTTTTGAGTACATGTACAGCCTTCATTCTGCCTACGACAATTCTCTTTTTTTTAAACTTCGGATCAACATGAATCCCCCTGTTGTTTGTTTTGCATGGGCAAAGCCATCGGAAATATTCAAAAATAATAATGGAATAAAAATACCAAAATGTAGGGGTGAACTTGCTGGTTTGCTGGCTTCCAAATCGACTTCACCTCTCATAATCAGAAAACCTGCACATATACCAGTTGTTGGAAAATAGCAGCTAGTATGCGTCGCTTTCCCACACCATAGATTAATGGCGGCCGCCAGGCTATAAGTGCTCTTGGAGAACCCTGAGAAAAACATAAATAAAGTGCGTTTTCGTCACCTTTTTTACTTGGTTGTCCACCGACAATGTCTCAGACTGGTTAGGTTGTCCGGCGCAAATTCTGGTTGTCTCGGACAACCGGACAACGCTTATTTCGAGCACTGACTTAAGTTTGTCTCAGTGGCTCGTCGGTAGAGCTTTCGCTTCGTGATATTAAGGGACCGTGTTCGAACCCCATAAGATGTTTTGATTTTCCTCTGCTTTCTGTATTTCTTTGTATTTTATTGTTTCTGCATTTCTTTGTTCTGTATTCATTTATTTGTTCTGTAACTTTTGTTTATGTTCGAAATTAAATATATTTCTTTATGTTTTGCATTAAAAATTGTCCTATTATATATTTGTCCTGTTATGTTCAGAAACTGACCAATCAGAGAAGAGAGCCGGTTGTTTAGTTTTCAGGACTCCGAAACCGGGTCTGGTCGTTTAGACACTGCCTAATAATTAATACTACACAGTACACACTTCGGTGTAGCACTGTAGGTAACGCGAACGGTACCTTGTTGTAAATAGACATGTGGCTAAACAGAGGAATTGCTCCGACCTGTGATTGGATGATAAAAATAGAATTTCCGACGTTTCTCAAGTATGTCAATAATGATAACATATTTATATGATTATCATTATGACACACGTCACATACAACTCAATTGATAACAAAACCTAGTCCCTTGCTAGTGGATTTGCACCAAAGAGTTGAATACACAGTCAATATCTACTTCCGTCACCCCCTAGACTAGCCACAAGTTCCCATCTCGCTTAACACTACGTGGCGAGAGGGTCACAAACCGACGCATTAGAAATATGTTCGGCAGTACGTGCACTGCTATTTAACGTTAAATTATCTCACTTTTTATCATTCTTACAGCTTCTCTGTACTTCGACGCTTCGATTTATTATAAATTGATAAGATAAAACTCAAAAAATGCCGCCATTTCCCCATAGATATTCCATAATACGTAGCAAAAGTTCATGAATTTTCGCGTACAAGAAGAGACATAAGAACATCCATAATGGTGTTTCACAACGTTCAAATAGTATAGCTGTTCGAAATTCTCTAATTTTAACGTGTATTTCGAGGTAAATACTAAATAGTAATTAAGAAGTGTAGGCCTAGCGATAGTTGCAACATGTAACAGGTGAGGTCAAATGTCACTAATACATTGTTTTATTTACGAAATTTTACGAAATTCGGAGTTTGTTTTTAAGCTACCAGGCATTTCGTATGGAAGGGTGTCAGGCTCCTCCGCCGTGTAACACTAAAGGCCCGCTTATGTCGGCCTTACGACCTAGTCGCCGACAAGATTTGAATATCGTACGTCAAAAACCGGCCAGATCGCCGATAAAAACATCGGCGACCAAACTCGACATGAGTTCTCTTACGATCGAAAATACGGTCGCCGACTGCGATCGCAAGAATAGAACATGTTCTATTTCTATGCGGCTGTCGGCGACAAATCGTGAGTGGCAGCCAATCACCGCAGCGTGTCGAGTCACATGATTATCAAAAGTCACGTGATTAATAAAATGGCAGCCTACACGCCACTCGTCAGCAGTTTACAAGGAGGGATTGTTCCGTACATCACATAAAAAAAAATTCTGCACATGATTATAACGATGTTCAGAAAATTGAGGATAGATTTACGAAGTTACATGTTTACTGGTAAGCGCCATTTTGTTGGTGACGTACGTGACTCGTTTTATGTAGACTGGTCCGGTCAAGCTTTGCTCTGTTTGTGCTAAAAGAACTGCTTGTGCTAGTACAAATATGCGGGGCGAAACCCGTCTACGTTTCATGCAGGAACGCTACGATGTGATCGGCGATGTGCAGCGTAGTCACTTCAAGTGACATGAGTGTTGCTATGGCTGCTAATCGCGCTAAGAAGTAGTCGCCGATAGTAAAATAGGACGGGCGATGAGCGGGCCTTAACACTAACAGTCGGAGAGCCTGGTCGGTTTACACCTAGACTAAGTTTTGTTACCAATCGAGTTGACGTGTCATAATGATAATCATGATTCATATAAATAATATATTGACATAGCCATAGGCCTAGATACAATAATGTAACCCAAACAAGGAAGATAGGGACGCTCTGTAACCCTATCCTCCTGGGTTTGGGTTACATTATTGTATCTACCATAGGCCTAGCTCTAGTACTATAGCCGCAGGATCGCTGCCCTGCGCGCACGATCCTGCGGGCTATAGTACTAGAGCTACCATAGACCCTACTTGAGAAACGTCAGAAATTCTATTTTTATCCTCCAATCACAGGTCGGAGCAATTTCTCTGTTTAGCCACAGGCGCAAATCCACTTTAGGCACCTTAGGTATCACGAAGTGATGCACAGATTTATGTGTATCATCAACTGATGCACAGACATTCTGTTCATCATAACAAGGCGATCAGGGGCATCAAGGGATGATGCACAAACGTTTACCTGCTCTGAGATGCTCACATAGCCATGCTAAAAAGCGCCACCTATCGGGCAAAAATACTACTATTATACCCTATATAATTATTATACTATTATAATTATTATACTATTATAGTACCCTATATGATTATCTCTAACTAGCTGCGGTTACCGCTGCGCTGGGTAAAATCGTGCTACTAATTCATACTATAATAATGGGACACAATAGGAAATTGGGTAAACATCGACAATAACATTGCACACAATATCATATTTAGAAATCAGTCTAATAAGATATAAGCATGGGGGAAAACTGTTCGTATGACATTTTAATATGACAGCACAACCCAACTTAGAACCCCTGGGACATAATAGTAATATGGTGTAAATAACCAAAAGTTATTATTATATAACAGCATGTACGAATGGGTTGGACTTTTCATTTCAAAGCCTCTTGATAACAATGTTTTTTCGTGTTTTCTCTGGTGGAATAATGTAGAGATTCTGGGCGTATCGAACTCTTGAGCTCCCCACGTGCAGCGTATACATTGTGAGATCATACACGAATAAAAAAAGAAATTCCATATATAGTATAGATAGAGACAGGCAAGCGAGTGGGGTCTGTGTCCATGGATATTGTCTAGTGAATGCTTGGCGCGCAACCATGCACATTGAAATTAAGAAATTTTTGTATTGAATCAGAAAATGCATAGCTTTGGAATGGTACAATGCATTCTGAGATCGTAGCATCTGAACTGAAACTCTGATCAGAGTGGTATAGTACCTCTGAACTGGTCCTGGTTATGCTCTGTTTTAGTATTGATTTCGGTTTCGGTTTCACAATATAAGCAGCTGATGAGATCATGAGGTGAGGGCAAGAAATAGTCATAGGTTTTTCTGTCTGTGGCAGCACTGTGGCAGTGAGTGCTGAATTGTGTGAAGATTGACGATTAACGGGTTTTTTCACGGATTTTCGGTGAGTTTCACGGTTTGACAGGTTTTTTTCATCTAGGAAACTCCCCGGGTATAACAGATGGCCTGTGAAAATTGCATCAGATCGCCTTGGGCGGTTTGGCGCGCCTATAGGGAAGATACATACATACATACATACATACATACATACGAACTCAAATATATATTAGATTAGACTGGTACCCGGTCCCACCGTTCGGCTTAGGTGTAGCGGCCCGCGTGATTTTTTTTCCTATGTGAATGCACCATAAAACAGGAGTTTGAGGCACGTGATTTGTATCAACCAATGGCAGCGCTCGTTAGAGCCCTATGTTCTTGATTCACCTAGGGAAAAAATCACGCCTACAGCGGCATCATGCAGGGTGTTGCTCACTGATCTCTATATAATAATATAATCGATCTAGACTATTACCGTTCCAGACGGGTTTGAGGTGGGGTATGATTTGAGGAAGGCGGTTTAACCATTTATCTCTCCTTTTAGTTGGGATGTATTTACAGTAAATACTGATATGTAGATCGAGTCATATATCAATATTTGTTTAAAAGATTGTATCTAAATATATATAAATCTGAAATTTTCCTTAAAATTACATACAATTTTTCAATAAAGGGAAATGGGGTAATTTCATAGTACAATTTCACTTATTTAGATATATTATTTTGAAAAATATCCTTCTGGTCGAAGCATTATTAATAAGTCAAATTCTTTAAAAAAAAAGCAAATGCATTGAGTAGTTTTGAAGATATATGTTCTTTTGATAGTCAGTGGACGGCGGCGGGCAGGGTTACACCTCCCGTTGTCAAATATTTGCACACGCGCGCGCACGCACACACACCGCAATCACACACACCGGGCATGCGCAGGCACAATCACACCGCACGCAGCACAACACATACACTTTACAACAACACATACACACACATGCACCCGCACACACACGGCTACATACATAACGCACAGCACACGCAACACACACGCATACATTACATAACACACACGCACACCGCCCGACGCACACACACCGGCACACACTCACACGCACACACGCAACACGCAACACACGCACACACATACACAACATACAATTGCAGCCGTATTCGTTAAGGGTTTGTCTTAACTGTGCGGCGCAGTGATTGGGCTGTTTTATACACCGCAGCCGCAATGTCTTTTGGTGTGGCGTGTGGCGCGCGTGCCGTGTGGGCGTGCGTGCGTTCGTGCGTGCGTTCGTGCGTGCGTTTTAGTGTGGCTTGCTATGTCAGTGAAAGGGTCACACTAATTAAATGCTATTTATTATACCTTTAATCTACATTTAGTATAGCTACATTATCATTAAAACGCCGTGAGAAAACACGTTAATAGTTTAACACAATTCAAAAGGTTATGGTATATATAGTGTGGTATGTGTGTGCTCTTAAACAATCGAACGGTCTAAAAATGTCAGCGCATTGGGAGCCGGGTAGCGCGGGCACGGTTACACCATCCCGTTGTCAAATATTTGCACAACGCGCGCACGCACGCGACACACCGCATTCACACACATACGGCCATGCGCACGCACAATCAAACGTGGCACAGCACGAGACATACGAATTTAAACAGCACACGGGCGGACCCTACAGCACCGGCAACACGCGCACGGCGCATGCACCGACCAACGCTTTACAAAACTGACTCCGGGATGAGATTTTTCGGCGGATCGCGAAATCGCGTGGATGTTGTACAGTCGCAGGGGTCCATTTTGTGAAACGTGAAATTCGTTGAGAAATGGGGGGATAAGAATGTAACAAAGGAATTATACTTTGAACAGTAACTGACTAGTAGACGACAGCAATTAACAGCGGTGTTACAGATAGCTAGGCGTGTACGCGCGTCGCCGCTAGTGAGTACGTCGCGTGGCATGGCAAGCAGCGGTGCCGAATTGATGTAGCGGGCGAACGATTGTTTGCATGTTATGGCGCGAAGCGATGCTGTGTTGGGGCGCTGGGAGGGGAGAACGAAAGTAAACGAAAAACCGGTAGCTCCTCGTCCTATCGTTTTCATCCTTATGAGGGTTGATAATTTATTAAGGATGCGGACTCTTTTCTTATCCTGTATAGTTGTAGGCAGTATTTTGTAGTATTTTTTTTATGACATGGCAGCTGTGTGATATGTGTTTATTGAAAATGCTGGATGTACAGGAAAATACCAGAAATCAGAGTAACGTAATGTTTAGAAAAAAATTATTGAGGTTGAAAACCATTGAAAATGCTAGACTTACTTCACAGCCGTCTTCGGTCGCACGCGTGATCTTGGACGTTGGCGGTAGGCGAGGATTCACATGCTCTGAATTGGACTGCGCATGGCGGATTTTGCGTTTTTAAATTTGGTGGGCGGGTTTCCGTCGAGGCACGTCAATTAGAGAGGTGATTCCGTGAAATTCTGCTTGGACTGCGCATGGGATTTGCGATCTAAAGTGGCTGCGGGTTTCCGATGAATGCGGATGTTTCTTCGGGACATAACTTTTTGGAAAATTGCCTCAAAGTTAGCTTTTAGCGATGGAAAATCGCGTTCTATAGTAGGCGGTAATGTATATCGGCGACGCCCAGAAGGAGCCCCAGCTTGATTCGCGTGAGCCCGCGGACGGTCGGAGGTAGATACGGAAACGCCTTCGGGCGTCTTTTATATTATATAGTAGATATATATCATATCGATTATATTATAGAGATGCAGATGGTGTTGCTATGCATAGAATCGCAGGCCCAATAAACGTTTATTGGGTTATTGGCTGCGATTTCTATGGTTGGCTATTCCCCGGCGTGAGGGAGGTCACGGTGATAACGTAGACGATGAGTTCAAACGTTTAACCCTAATTCTAGTTCAAGTAACCTAATTCCTAGCGCTTAACCCTAACGTAATCACTCCAACCCGCGATACACTAAGCCTCACACTAAATATATATGTCCTGCGTCCGGCTTATATATAGGCTTGTGATCACAAAAATTAATCTATGGTGGGGGTACAGATATCATGATGGAAAACCCCTCACCCTCTCCTACCTAGACATAAACCTAACCATATACCTAAACCTTAATCCTAACCCTAACTAACGCGGCTAATCCTACGCCTAACCCTAACCTAACCCCCTATCCTAACCTGACGAACTAACCCTAATCGCTAACTATACGCCACACTAGTGGTTGCGAAGTTGCGGTCACCTCCCTCTCCACGCCCGGGGGACAGCATAGCAAGAGGGTCCCATGCATAGAGTTTGTACTAATAGATAATCTATAACTCTATGGTTATATCTAATATATAATTATATATCATATATAATATTTATTAATATAATATCATATAATAATAATAAATATATATATAATCTATAACTCTATGGTCTAATATCTATATCTAATATCTAATGGTCTAAAATCTAATAATCTATAATCTATAGTCTAATATATAACTCTATGGTCGGCATGGCAACAATGGCGGCATTTTATAAAGATGGCACCATTACAATGAGCCGCTGAAGGTGCGATAGGATATGTTTACTAGGCCTTCTAATTTTAACCATATATTTTTACATTTAATTTAGGTCAGGGTTAGGTAGGGTTAGGGTTAGGGTTAGGGTTAGGGTTAGGGATTAAGGAGTTAGGGAATTTTTAGGTTTTTGCATGCATTCTTTAATATATAGTAAAATATGATGTTAAAATTAGAAGTGGCCTGTAAACATATACAAGTAAAAGTTAAGTTAACGTTATTTTAACGTTATGTTTTTGGTTTTGTGATAACGTTATAACACCTACGTATATAATTACGAAATTGTGTGGGTTTATAACGTTTTTTATAAGCGTTTAAAAATAAGTTTTCCTCCGACTAAATACTTGAAATAAGCAGTTCTTGTGCGTGGTCTGCTAACGTTAAAAAACGACATTACGTTAATATTACGTTTGTATTTAGCGTTATTGTTACGTTACTTTTACTTAAATTTTAACGTTTTTTGAAGTGTTCTGATTAACGTTAAAAAAAAAGACCGACACAGATTACGTGTTGTAATGTTACGTATACTTGTTACTTTATCTTTACGGCAGAGGCTTCTGTACGCGCAGTACTACGCATGCGCTTGCATGTATTTAATGTCTTGAGGGTTACGGGTGCCACACACATCCACAGGCCACACACACACAAGTACAAACAGCACTCTAACCCTAAGCCGCAACCTAAGCCCAATCCTACCATAACACTAACTTAACGACTGCGGCTATCTATATATATATCCCGTCAATTTGCGCATTCTTGTCGTACGTACTGTATGTCTGTCTGATGGAGTGGAAAGCATATTGGGTATATGGGTATTTTGTTAGTGCTTAATTTTCTATGCATTGACTGTGCCAGGTTAGGAATGAATTCAGCAATACAGCAGCATTTCGGATTTTGGATTTTTTTTGGTTTTCATTTCTTTTTGCCTTTTTTGGATTTTACGCAAATATCATGTCTGTCTATTCTCAATTCATTCCTAAACCTGGCAAGTCATATTGGTACAACGTTTCAACTCAACGATGGGCATATAGAGCGGCCAGTCAAGAGAGAGGAAGGAGGGAGGGAGAGAGATCGGACCGATATATATCAATCAAAAAAAAAACCTAAATCCAAAACCAAAATCCAAAAAACGCCAATCGCAAAAAACCCAAAATCCAAAATCAGAAAACATCCAAAACACTCACAAAAGACCCAAAATACAAAAAATCGGACAAAACCACAAAAATCCAAAAAACCCAAAACCGCAAAAATCCGCCAAAAACCAAAATACAAAAAAATTCTTCCGCGTTCAAAAATCACAAAATCCCAAAAAAAAAATTCAAAAAATAAAAACCAACAAAATAAAAAATAAAAAACGCAAGTCACTTAAACTGAAAATCAATTCCCCATCATGGCCTTCATCGTGGGCCGCTTCATGGCTGGCCGACGGAGTGGCTGTTGGCCCCCCGCCCCAAACTCACTAGTGGTTTTTAAAAAATTATTTACTATCTCTTTAGCGCGTGAGTAAAACAGATAAATTAATTATTGGTATGATACCTTTTGGCTTTCATATTTTGCATCTGACTGACAATCAATCAAACAACTAGTTGTAGGCTAGCTAATTATTAAGTTAATATTATTAATTTATAATTAAATAATTAATTATATAATCATTAAATATTAATTAATATAATATTAGGCTGGAGATTATTAATGCGTGAATTAATTTTCGCAACGGATTATTAGTGGGAAAGCGACGCATGCACAAATGAACTAGCGAGTACCGTGCTTGAGACATTAAGATACGGCTCCGGCCGAGTAAGCCATTGGTTACTGTACGTTA